TCAAGACGCTCTCAGAGTGAAGACTCATACTGCAGCAACTCATAGAGGAGCGGCCCGTCTCGATATCGAATGCCTACTGCGGTGGGGGTGACATACTGCAGGATGTTAATAGTCCTCCTCAGTCTCCTGTCTACAAAGTGGGCGTCCCAAGCCGGGTATCTCTTCCTTGGCATGTCAATCTTAATGAGGGGCCCTTCTGGGGGGTAAGGACGCCCCAACGGGGTGGGGGGCCCCATGGGTCTCACTTGGAACACGGGCAAGCAAGTGTCAGCCGTGAGGTCCTCCTGTTGCTCCGGGACGGCTCTGGTGGGCGTGACCTGGGTCCCCCGGTACCCAGGGGTCTGAGGCGCCATGGGCTCAACATCGGGGGGCAGAGGGATGCCCCAGAGCAGCTCGGCACAACAGGAGCTGGCAAAGATCTTAGCGCGTGGCCCCATGGGATGCAGCACCCCGTAATATAAGAGCATCAGTGCGATCCCGGCCACGAAGCTAATAAAGACACAACACAGTGCTGGCACCGCATAGGAGTCAGTGGTCTCCGGGTTTCTGTAAAAATACCAAAGGAACGTCAAGGCCGCGTTCTCGGTCAAGACTACCGTGTAATAGGCAAACATTCGATATCGAGTCCGCCCTTCCTTGACGTTAAACCAGCAGAAGATGTACACAATCCCTACCACCATGTTGAAGAGGATCTCCTCCCACTTGGACATGCAGAAGTCTGTCCCGCCATGGATGATCCAGAAGGCCATGGCGCACCAGTGGACCACCACGAAGATCCCGAAGTAGAGCTGGAAGATGGAAGCAAAGAGGGCAAAAGAGATCACTCGGGATGAGATGGTGAAGAGGCGCCAGAAGAGGTGGACGAGGGCCCCTCGGTAGCTCATGCTCTTCTTGTCGTCCCTGGAGTCCCGCAGCAGCTTGTGATAGGAGGCTAGCACCCAAGCCAGGGACATCAGGGAAGTCGCAGAGGAGACACCTGCCGGAGAGACACAAACCCACACAGTCAAAACCTCGGGCCTCAACCGTGGGGCGCAGCGGGGAGGCCGGCCGGGAGACGCCCATACACACCACGATCTAAAGGAGGAGGGAGAGAGAAACACACAGTCAGGAAGCGAACTTGGAGCGCACAGCTTTGCCCTAGGCTGACGGCTTTGGCGCCCTAGCTTCCGCGCAACAATCCCGCTGGCCCTTTTGGGAACCCTGCGGTTCAAGAGTGAGGCCGTAGCCAGGGTGCTTGGTCGGGGCGCTGGGAACTGGGACCGTCTTAAGGAGTCCCGAGCTCATGCAGGCCCGTGTGGCACACGGAGGCGCGGCCAGCGTTGGCAGCCCTGTCACTGGCAGCCTGTGTTCTCAGTGGAGCCCACAGAAGGAGCTGCCGATTGGGAAGAGCGTGGGCTCCCTCGTTGGCCTGAGTTCCACACTGCTCTTCTCTAAGAAGGCGCTGGAGTCCCTCTTCTGCCTTTTCCTCCTCTCACTCAAGGTCCTGAGAAGCCTTTTCCTAAGCCGTCTCTCCCCTCCACCGCCCAAGGCCACCGTGATCAGGAAGGCGGGCTGGGAGAGCTCACGGGCTTTGCCAGCGCCCTTCCCACTCATCCTGGTCTCCGCCGGCCTCTCCAAGACCCTGGTGGCTCTCTCCAACCATCCGAAGTTCAAATTCTCTTAGGTCTGGACTTGTGAGGCCCTGTCCTTCTCTGCTTCCCTCCAAATTCAACAGCGGGGTCACTCATGCTTTGAAAGGCTGCCTCGTCCCCTCACTGGCTTGGCGAAGTTTCCAAGATCCTTGTACTTCACTCCTTGCATTTTCTCCCACAACGGGCAAATATTTAGAGAGCTTGAATATGTCTCATCCCAAGTCATTTTATTTCTACCTCTGCCTGCTTGATGCTTGTAACCAAACCAGATGAAGTGCAATCAATAGTTGTTAAAGTCTGTCTCATCATGGACAACCAATCATCAGTGGAGTGCTGTCCTGCAGTCTCCTCTCAAGCAAGATTCCCCATCACCGACCCTTGACTCCTCGTTGCATCATCTACACTCAGTCCAGCTAGGTCCTCTTCTGTTGGTCTTTTCTCCCAAATTTTCAGCGCTAAATGCAACTAGAGGCCTGAATGTCGTCCTATTGGCAATGAGCTCCTTACCAAATTCCTACGCTCCTACGGAGCACAATTCCCCTATGCCATCCTTCCAGGCTGAAACCAGAGTTACTCGTTCATTTTTTTCTCTCAAGCTCAAAGACCGGATCCAGAAGCCCCATTTGTGAAGAGACTAATTTAAACTGCCCCAGACCACCAGGCTTCTGCTTGTCTCTCCCCAGGCCCCGGCCAGCTCCCCAGGACACTCTAAACCCCTGTGAAGAATCCAAGTCCATTGTCACGTGATAGTCTCCTAGCCTTGGCCCTACTTCACCCAGCTCACGAAGCCCCCTCCCCCACCATCTTGTGTTGCCGCCCAGAGTCTTAACTTGCAGAATAGCATCACGCTGTCACAAAACCTGTATATGCACAGAAACACCTGGAGGGTTGACTGCGACAATGAGCATGTGTTGCTTGTGTAATAAAATCAAGCAAGATTTAAAACAAACAGGGGTGGCACGATCCCGATGTCTCCATGGAAACCAATCGGGAAAATGTCTAATGAGCATTGATGACAATTTTCCTCTCGCTTCTCGGGAAGGTACTGAACACATCACTTACATGTCATGCCTCACTCATGGTACACACAGGGCATCTCACCTGCATCTGCAGGTGGCTAGCTAGCTAATCTTTTAGAGCCCTGCTGTGCTCATGTTGTCTGTTAGGTTGGGATGGGGGCGCTGGGTCCTCTTAGCAGTCATATAATGTAGGTTGTAAGCTTCTGGAGGGCAGTGCAGTCATCTCTTCAAAGTCTGTACTAGGTTATTCCCAACCCTGGAGCATCCTCAGAAAATTCCTTCTGGAGCTGGGCGTGGAGGTTCACACCTGTAATACCAGAGCTTTGGGAGGCTGAGGCAGGAGAATCGTTTGGGGCCAGGAATTTGAGACCAGCTGGCACAACAAAGCAAGACCCCATCCCTACAAAAACTTTAAAAATTAGCTGGGTACAGTGGCATACACCTGTAGTCCCAGCTACTTGGGATGCTATGGTAGGCAGATCACTTGAGCCCAGGAGTTCCGGGCTGCAGTGAACTATGATCACACCACCGCACTCCGGCATGGGCAGCAGAGCAAGACGCTATCTCTAAAAAAATAATAACAACAAAAAGAAAAAAGAAAACTCCTTTAAGCATCTTGGTGACATCACTGCTCTCCAGCTGAACTCATTTCTTGACGCTCATTGTGCTACATTCGGGAGGTACTACCAACTCTTAGTAACCAGATGGGAATTCTACAAGAGCTCAGTGGGAGAAATCTTTGAACTTCACGTTCCTTTTAATAAAGCAAACTACTGCTTTCTGCTCCAAATAGCATGAACGATGAGCTCATAAAGCAACAAAAAACAGCTCAGCTTTTGCGAGCATGGTCAGATCTGGTGTAATTCTGAGCTTGCTTTGAACAGATTTGAAGCGCAGAGGTGGGACCATCCTCCATCTCCACTGTTTTCACTTCAGTGTTCTCTGGATTGTGACATCAGCTACGTCCACACCAAATACAAATAAATGAAATCCAAACATTCATCCATCATAAGTTGCAAAGTCAAAATCAATTCTTCTTCACTTTTCCACCTTCTGGGTCCCCTCCGCCATTTCTAGACATGTCGCTGTAGACTGGAAGGCTGGTATCTCATGCCTGCCTCACCCTTCTTGAGGGCATTGCTGAAACCACTCTCGTTTCAGTCGACCAAGCACTGCTGTGGTTCTTGGTTGGGGCTTCTGCAGGGTAAGCACAAACATTCCCCAAATGTTGCAAGAGCTCACTGCTAAATTACAAGGAGGGCTTGGGGTGCGGCCTCATGGAAGACTGTGATTCTGAGCACTTGCCAGGGAGTCTGCTGATGCACTGATGGCCAGTCCGGTCTTATGTGGTCAAGTTACAAATGATCAAACTTTCTATGCAGGGGAAACCTCCCAGACTATCCTCAACCTGTTCATTCCACAGGAAACAGAGGGGCAGGGGTTTGGGAGGCTTGACCAGGTTATCCCGAGGAGCACTGACCCATCCGAAGGAGAACAGCGTGCTTCCTGCCACACTCCTAAGTGTGACTTTTCCTCAGAGGGCCGTCCATTCTTCCTTCATCTGGTCCCTCTGTCAGCCCAGCTCTCCAGACACCCACCATGCAGTGCCTTCCCTGAGGTCCTTTGTACTAAAGGCCAGCAGCCTTTTCCAATGACGAGAGCCTGTGCTAGTGCCCGACCTTTGGCCCTTCAGGACTGGAACACCAGGCCATGACCTTGGCATTGTGGAAATGCTTCAAGTAGAGGAAGAAAGAAGAGGAACTTCTGCCACCTAACCTGGTCTGGGTGCCAGGATGCTCGGCAAAGGGCCTACCAAGACCAGGAAGAGCACCTCTGGCCGGAGAAAACATGGGTAACAAGTGAGGCCTCGTGCCCCTGCTGTGTCTGCCTCTCTTTCTCTCTCTCTCTCTGCCAGCAGTAGGGGCAGGGATGATCCTGCCAGGAAGGGGTTTCCTTGGGGTGGCCCCTCTCTAACTTACTGCATTACCAAAGCACTCCTCGTTCCACCCAAAGCTCTGGGCACATTTTTATCTTTTGTCCAGAGTCGGTGTGGCTGGCTGAGTCCATTCCCGGATAGAAACCAGAAAGGTTAGGCCCAATTTAGGCCCCCATTTAAAAGCTGGGTTTCTCACTGAGCGCTCAACAGAGGGTGGCCCTTGCCTGCAGGGCCTCAAGAACCAATAATGGGGGGCATCAGACCAGCTTGTTTTCAGCCTGCCCCCGGAAACTCTTTCAAACCTGCCAGAGACATGGGCCACGGAGTTATGTGGGACGATGGCCCCAGTGTCCGTGGCTCGGCCACTTCTGCATCTCTTCCCTGGACAAAGCCTATGGCCTCACAAACCCCCAGGACTGTAAGTGTGACTTTTCCTCAGAGGGCTATCCGTGGAGCTAGCTCTGGGGACTCGACTAGGGCAGGGATGGGGGAGGCAGGACAGAAAACGCCCTCCTTGCTCTGAACCCTCCCTGTCAGGGCACCCGGCCATCCCAGAGAACACAGCATGATCCACTGAAAGTTTACACACATTGTCTTACTGGGAAGAACCCTGGGAAGCAGACGCATGTTAGGGGCTCAACTGTGTCCTCTCAAAACCTGTAGGTTGAAACCCTGATCCCCATTCCCTCAGAAAGTGACTGTATTTGGAGAGAAGACCTTTAAAGAGGTGATCAAGGCGAAATGAGGTCGTATGGCTGGCCCTAACACAGTGTGACTGGTGTCCCCATAAGAAGAGGAGACTAGTATACAGACACACGGGATATGACCACGTGAGGACAGAGGGGGAAGGGAGCCATCTACAAGCCATGGACAGAGGCCTCAGGGGGACACAGCCCTGCTGGCAACTTGATCGCAGACTTCCAGTCTCCAGAACGGTGGGAGCGTAACTTTCTGTTGCTGCAGACTGAAACAACATGGACAGCACAGTGCACAGACACTGTCGAGCGCTTAATCATCAAGGCTTGTGGCGTGCTCCGTTGCAGAATGGGCACCCTGGCTGCTCCTCTCTGCAGTGGCCCACTCGCCGCCAAAAGTCAGGGCATGCACCAAGGCCCAAGTTCACAGGGACGGGCCAGGGAGGCCCCTGGGGGAATGCCCAGGAGGGCCTGGGAGCATCCGTGGTTCCCTCCCCTTAAGGCTCCATCACTTCCTGCATTCCAGAGGTCAGCCTGGAAATTGGGAAGCCCTTCACGTTCTGGTGGGACAAGCTCCTGGCAGTGAACTTCATGGCACTCAGGGTCCCTGGTGCAGACCAGGGGACAGGGCTTGCAGCTTGCACACAGAGCTGACCGCTGTGCAGTGCCCCTGGCTGGGAAGTCATTAAGCCAGAGCTCAGGGGTGGGGAGCGGGCAGAGGATGCCCTCGAGAAAGGCTTAGAGTGAAGGCCTTCGGGCTCCGATCCTTGGCCCTAAGGCCTCAGGTTCTAGAAACGGACTGGCCACACCTTATAGCCCATGGAGCAGAGCCAGAGGGGTAGTCAACAGAGAAGGCTCCATCTGGTGGTCACTGCCAGCTGAACTCTTACTGGTTGGGAAGCAAAGTGAAAAGCGTGAATGTGGGTGTCCCACCAAGCAATACATTCATGGGGGGTCTGGGGAAGGATGGGTCCCTAAAATCCAGAGGGAGTGGAAGAAGTGG